CCACTGTTTAGGTCATACGTCTGTAAACAAATAGTGTAAAAGTTTCCGTGAAGGGCGGCAAATGACATTGGATCTGCCGAGACCGGGCCAAGCAAACAAAGTGATCACTAATGATTCCATTGCCTCCGTTAATGAAATGATCCAAGCTAATCGAAGGGTTACGGCCTGTGAAATCAGTCACGAACTCAACCTGAGTAAAGGAACGGTTAACACCATTATCCACAAACATCTGGGGTACAGAAATGTGTGGGCGGCATAGGTACCAAAACAACTGACCCTTGATCATCAGAAACGACGAATGGGCTTCTGTCTCCAGCACTTGATCCGTTATGAGGAGAATCCCGCATTTCTGGATCTGCCAGTTTGAGTGTGAATTAGCATTTTGGAGGAATATTTTTGGCGATTCACTGACATATATGGGTTATCTTTTGAATGGCTTCATGGGTTATAATTTGTTTCTATTTATAATATAAATGATGGGATATTCGAGTCTATAAGCAAGAAGTGAAACATAAGCATTTGGAAATTCATTTTTCCTAATAAAGAGCTCTTAAACAAGGTTTCGCTTTTGGGGATGTGAATGCTTTAATTAAACAGTTCTAAATTTGACGACTTGTCTACATTTTGGAGATTTTAAGATCAGTTTCTATAGAAAATTTTAATTCTGAGATCTGAAAATTTGTCGACGATTTTTTTTAAAACATCATAACATTGATAAATTTCATAAAATAATAGTAACATATTGAAATTATATTAAAAAAGGACATTAAAATAAAACATTTTTATTTTTTGCTGTCATATTATAAAGTTTCATTTTAGCAACTTATTATACAATAGTTTGAATCTGAAAAATACACAAGGTGTAATGCTATAAAGCATAATTTACGAAACAGCTCTTAGCAAAAGAAAAATTAGCTATAATTAATTAAAAATGTCTTCTTTTTAATTTTTTTGTAGTAAGTGTTTTTCCCATGTAATTGTCTCATAATATTCTGAAAATGCATCAGTTTTCTCTATAAAATTAATTTTACACATTTTACCTCCTTTTTTTCCAAAATATTTCTGTCTTTTTGCTGTTACAGAATTGGTAGGGATAATTTTTTAATGTTTTAGACATTGCAGTTGGAAAGTTTAGAAGGATTTGAAAGTAAGATTTATAGACCCACGATTCTAGAAGATTCGAGAAATATGTGACAAAATGAAAAATATCTCCATGGTATCAACACGTAATGGATGTATTTTACAGAAAGTTTGCGATAAATTTCTTATTTTTTGGTCTGGAAGAACAATGAAAACATAATATTTGAATGTTTTACTCCTGACACTAGAATCTTTTTCTTAGCATGTTTACCTTCCCTTTATTTTATTTGCTTTTCACTACACATAAGCATGGAAAATATAAAAAATGCTTTTGATCTTATCATTTGGGCAGGTAATTATAGAAAGACAACTTATCACCTCTGGTTGCTTTAATGGCTTATTGGAACCTGAAAGTATATTAACTGGGTTGCAACCCCTAATGGGTTGCTACTGGGTTGGTTATAACCTAATAGGTTATAACTGGGTTGCAACCCTCTACACAAAGCGATGAGACTAACTGCATCAAACAGAGCCTGACTAAATTTCAAAACTTGCCAACCGTGCCTTCATCAGGCCTTTCAGGTTTATTCGAATCAGCATGTCTCTCTCTGGACAATCAGTAGCGGTGACAACATTCAGTCTTTTGTTATGAATCATGCTAATAATGATCTTACTTCTCGTTTTAACCTATGCCGCTTGACATAAAATCTAATACCTGCTATTTACTAAACCTCTAGACTGATCAAGTATGTGACAAAATTAGATAAAAAAATCAGCATAAAGCTAACTATTAGTGAAACATAAATGTCACTTATCTTCTTTCAAATATGCACAACTATTATTAAGTGTAAAATATTTAATGCTACTTGATAAATTATTGCATAAAGTTTATTTTATTGGCAAACTTATTAATAATTATGTTAATTAATTCATGTTTAGTAATAATGTATACTAAGGTATCTATTTTATTTTTAGGATGGTATTACAAAAGTGAAATTCAGGCATAGAATAATGTTTTTAATTGAATTTATTCAGTTCCCATTTGCTCATAGGTCCTTAATTTTTTCCATTAATGGTCCTTAAAAGTCCTTAATTTCCATGTACGAACCCTGTCTACATTACATGGGACATTCCTATTAGCAGTAGAATTCTAATAATCCACAATCACTTAACTTGCCAATTTCTGTATTCTATATTAAAGTCTGAATGTAAACAAACAAAATTTTGATTTCAGGAAATTTTGCATATCAAATCGAATTTTATAGCAATTTATGATAATACATAATGACACAAATTGATAATGAACTTTTTAACTGAAGTACATTACATTTATAACATATTCTTAAGGAAGAAATAAATTTATGTTATTGCTGCTGAGATTATTTAAGAGTTATTCACCCACATCAGGAATCTTTTTTTATAGTAAATGTAGACTGTGAATCGCAGCAAATTTAAAAATTTAATGCCTTAGATAAATCTCTACTTTTGAGTGCATATTCCACTGTCTTTTACTATTCATTTTGAATTTGTGAAATTAATTAATTAAAAAAACTATGTGACATTTTTTAAGAATTTATTTGTCAGGAACTTTTCAAACTGCGTTCAAACTTAAATGCACTTTGCAACCAGTTTTTTACAGTCCATGCAACAAGCAAGCAAAATCAGTACAGAGCAGGCATAGTTTAAAAATAGCATGTATAAAGATTTTCTAACATTGAAAATGAAAATATAGTAATGGGCTAAAGAAAATAAAAAGTTTTGTACATCGAAAATGAAAATGGGCTAAAGAAAATAAAAAGTTTTTAGCAAGTCCAAAATTTCAATTTAGGACTTTTTGCAGCATTATTAACCCAACTGCCCACATATGGAATGAAAAGGCTAGAATTAGTATAGAAATCAGTTTAGAGAAATCCTTATTGCTGGAGGTGTCATAAACTATGCATTTATTCTTCCCCTCATGTTTAACCCCTTTGAGCCGGGTAGCGAAAACGCGCGCTTATCGCGGAGGCCGGCAGTGTCTTCCGCGAGTGTCTCTCCAGGGCCGGCTTTTTTGCTACTAAGCCTAAATCCATGAAATTTCCGAAATATCAATGCATTGTTTAATAATGCTCTATAGAGTATTTAAACGGCTTCTGCTTTATAGATATTTTTATATATATTCTTTAATTACCTTATTTCTTGTTTAAATGCATATTTTACACATTTTATTTTAATTACTCACCATTTTATGACTTTTAACATTATACATCTAAAAACTAAATATATTACTTAAAATTCTCTTTTCGTATGAAAAATTTTAAAACAGGGATCTACACACATTCCTACATTACATTCCTTTGAACTCTTAATAACTCATTTGCTGTTTTGGAGGATTTTTCCGGGAATGTGAACAAACGAAGCACCATCGTCTCATTTTCTTATCAGTCTCTTCTGAACAAAGTTTTGGAAAATGTCTTTCAGTTAATCTTTCAGAATCAATATCAGAATATCAGAATTTCAGAATCAATATCTGAAATATTTTGCATCATTTCTGCTATTTCATGCCTCTGTAAAACATTTTCGACGCTTCGACATTGAAACGGTAAAAACAGAAAAAACAGAAAGAATTCACGTCTAACAAGATCTAATTATTTTCTAAAAACTGAACTGTAAACCGAAATACTCAACGCTTTAGCGCATATAAAACTTCTACTTACAATAAACAACTACCATGTGCGAATAAAGTGCGATTTAAAGAGACGTCATAAATCACGCCATTCAGAAACATTTAGTTCCCCGTTTGTTTATATAATCAAAAATACGTGTATGTGAGTCATGCTTCTCTCATTTCGAGTAGAATGTCTAATGTGCATGTATCTGAAACCGTATGGGCATACAATGCCATCTTGTGGCAGAAATTATAGTTTGAAAAACGTTCCAAGGTACTGGCACAAATACGTGACATTCGGTAGAAGACGCAGCAATGCTCTGGCACGCCTGCGTGTTGGCCGGTAGATAAGTGTGTTCGTTGCTGGCACGTATACATGACAGTCGGCACGAAGGGGTTAAGAATATAAAAATTACTTCGACATAAATTTCACTGATACAGTTTTTTACATAAAATTCTCAGATGTATGTTTACAAAAAGACTTCTGTCTTTCCTTTGAAAATGCCTTTATTCTAGCTTTCCACCAAATTTTCTCCATCTACTGATATTATTTTCTTTCTGTTTATATTTATAATGTATTACCCAGCTCGGAGAGCTCAGCTTATTTATTCTGATATTGTTGATGAATTTTGCATTTCCCCCCCTTTAAATGTGATTGAATAATGTTTTTCTTATGTTCTGGTTGAGCTTTTTGTTCCTGTAGTTAATCTGAATGCAGTAGTTGTAGAATTAAGCATAATAGCAGCAGTTTAAAAGTTTAAGTGCTACCAAGTCTAATAAAGCAACCATTTGTTTACATTTGAAACTCTTAGTACAGTAGTGAATTCAGTCAGTTTATGCACTAAGTCCAATGTCTTTTTTGCTGAGTGGATCAAAAAGTAAACTTTCAGTTTTGTGCATTGAAAAATCTGCCTCTTTGCCCACTGGCCAAACTGCTTGTTTTTGCTTAGAAAGTCTTAATTTTAATTGTATTTTTTTTAAAAAACTGTTTTAATGTATTTGATGTTTTATGTTTTTCTGCATTTTACAATTTTTAATGAAGATATTTTGAGTTTTGAGAAAAATATCTCAAATAAAGTTTGGAGAAATAAATTTAAATGAAATGCAGCTAAAAATGTGTATAATTTAATAGGCTGTACAATAAAGTCATGGTGTCCGTCCACATCAGATTTTTTTATTTGTTGAAGAATAATGCCTAGTACATAAAATCTCATTTTTTTAAAACAAAAGCAAAATATTTATAAACAGCTATATATATATATTGTTTGTTTAGCGCCGCCTGCCCTGTTGTCGAGCACCAGGAAGCGCTCAACAAAGTGTAAGCTCCAGTCCCACTGCTAGACCAGCCATGGAATTTGGTGTTCATGCAATTCAGCCTTGGTTTTACAGCGGGATGTCACGTGATGAAGCTACTCATTTGTTGACCAAATATGGCACCGTTGATGGGTAAGTTTTTTCTATTAAACTTTTTGCAGTGCAGTTATTATCTAATAAATATGCAGTTGTTCACCGTGTTACTGGTTTTATATAAACGAACAACTTTCTGAAATGAGTGCATTATTTCAACTAAGTATCTTTGAGCAGATTTAATCAGTATGGAGGAAGCTGCCATACGTTAAAGATTTTTTATTGAAGTAGTAATATTTTAAGTATTATCATAAAATGTAACTTAAAACTAAGTATTTTTCTATTATATTCCCCCATTTGTAGCATCTTTAATGGTCACTTATCATTTAAAATAATAAAAAAATGCCAGTATTTGAAATTAGTATCTATGTCTAGAATAATTATAAATACGATGTATGTCAAAACAAATGTAATTTTATACAACTAGCTAAGTTATTTGATAATGATGAAATTTTGCATGACCAATGAAAAGACAAAAACAGAGTTTAGTATTGAGTAGCAATCAATTAATTTATTAAGCAAAGTTATATCATGAACCATTACATATCAGTATAGTGTATAGTTGTATGTGATGACTCGTGCAAGTATAAAATGCTATTGTGCAGATTTACCCCCTACATATTGTATAAGTGCTCAGCAAGTTCATGCACGGTATAAGATTATTAAAACCAATGTTGTAACACATCTGATAAGTATTTGATTGAGAAAAGGTCTGAAGATCTGGCAGGTGAAGTAACAAAGCAAGCATTTTTAGGATAGGTTTTTGTTGGAGACATTCACCATTTGTAGATGGCATCTGCTGGTTCTGAGATAGATCCAATGAGCACAATAGCATTGACAATATAACAGGTCATAGGAAGTCACTGATGTATATCATCATTGTTGTGAAAGATCACTAAAGATGAATGGCTATCATATTATTGTGTGCATATGGGTTGGGAATAGATTGAATGCACACAGAACTGATGATAGCTTGATAAAATATATTTTACCAAAATAAATACTTCACAGCTCTAGAACTTTCCACAAATATAGTAGTGCAGCTCATCCACAGTATCACAGAGTGCAATCAGTAGTTACATTTCAAACTTCTAACAATGTTAAACATAACGCGATGCAAAACGCATCTGAAGAGGAAGATCACACAGAGATATCTTAATACTTAGCGCTGAGCTAAACAGAGATGCAGAGGACTTAGTGCTGAGTTAAATAACTACTCCAAATTCAGCTCTGAACTTACAACTAACCACTAAGAAATTGATGCTGTCTCTGGTCTTATATATTTTCCTCCAGTTGCCGAGAAGTCTCTAGTAGTACTTTTAGGAGGAAGGCATACGAGGACCAGCTATGGTTACAACTAATATAGGAATCAGTTACAATATCTTTACAGTTATACAGGTACCAGACTCAAATGTTGCCAAATGTTTCCCACGTTTGGTGACTTTTGGTGATTTCTTTCTGAATTTGGCAACAAAAATCAGTCGCCAAAACCATCGCCAATTTAGCAAGACAGCTTTTTTACTCAGTATTAGACTTTTCTTTGTATTTTCATTTTTCTGGCAAACCATCATCACTTTAGATTTTCATGTTACATAATACAGAAAAATACAATTTCGCATATAATTTCACCAAAATTATCTATCAATTATATTTGAAAATTCATAACAGTATGCTTCCATAATGATAATGCCATTAATAGTAGATTTATGCTGCCTGTACAGTGAAGTGGTTTTGTTCAACCCTCCTTCAAATTTAAGTTCTGTTATTCAGCTTAAGAAAGAATGATCCATCACTGAAAACAATCTGGTTCCAATCCATTCTAAGCTTTGTAGCTACGGTAGCAGTTAAGTTTTGCTGTTGGTCTATGCTTAGTATTTAATGGCAGGTGATGGATTAGGTATCAAGAGTTATTGCACAACATCTGTCAATTTCATGCAGTATGTGACAATTACATGTCCAGGAGATGTGGGTGATGTGATGTCCAGGCGATGTGAATACTCTTTAAAAGACTGCAGATAAAATTATATGCAACTACTCCACCAAACCCAAAAATTTGCAAAAATTCTTCATTCATATTATATTTAGCTTTAGAGAGGTTGGAAGCATCATAAAAAAAAGATAAGGGCAACATTATATACTTAAACCATATAGCAACAATTTATTGATATTTGCCTAAACTTTATATGCATATTTACAAACATACACTGCTAGCATGTAAACTTGGACTAAATAAAATGTTCATGTAGACTATAAATGACAAAAAAGGCTAATATCAAAAGCTTTTTTTGACTGTGGTATATTCTAAAATGATGTCAAACGCAGAAACCTACTTGACACTTTGGACACCAAACTGTCACACATCTATGTTTTCTTTCAGTTCTGGTGGTGTAACTACAACATGGAATATTCTTTGGCCCTTTCTTCCAGAACATTGCCCAAAAAGTGTCTTTCATTACTGGCTGCTAATTGGCCAAGCAATTCTCCACTTTGTCTACGAGACTGAACTGGAGTAATGCTTCTGCATTTTGATAAAATTTTTTGTATAATCTTTCTAATAATTTTTTTCAATGACAAGTCATTGCTTCCTGTTTTTACTAGAAATGTGTTACATGAATTCAAAATAGAGATGTCGGACAGGTGAAAAAAATTTGTATGCCACTTCACACTTTTATGAACACAATACAAAAAAAATAGCTGCAGGTCAGCCTTATCGACAAGTCTCATATTTGTGGCGTAGTCCAATACACAGTGTGGTTTCATAATCCTTTCTTGGGTTCCATGATTCACTTTTCCACTATCCACCAGTGTTCCTTTGTGAAATGTGGAAATAAAATGCGAATCCCTTTTGTTGTTCTGCTTTAGAGCAAAATTTTGGGCATTTCTTTAGCTTCGACCACGTCTTAAGTGTTGTAAATTTTGGGAAATGCTTTCGAATTTTCTTGACGTTCTGCATGAACCAGTGCTATTTTCAACCGAATAGGCTGCCATCTTTGAGCTGTTGTACTAATTATCAGTTTATAGGAAGTGGTTTTTTCCCCCTGATAATTTTCTAGGAGCTTTTTCTTTATAGCGCCTGTGACACTAGGTATTTCAACTTCTGGTATATCTCTGATGCAACCAATCTAAATCAAAGTTTTCAAAATAATTCTGGTTACACAGTCACACAGCAAAAGCAGTTTTAGTCCAAATCGATGTTGTTTTGAAGGTATATATTGCATGAATGATAACCTGCTTTTGAACAACATGGCAAACTCATCAATATATATTTTTTTGAAATGGTGAAAAATATGTAGAAAATTTGGCGTTAAGATTTTCAAACACATTTCGAATTTTCAACACTTTGTTTTCTGGTTGTTTTGTCATTATTCCCAAAACGTAAAAATCTCAAAATTTGTGCATTTCTGCCATGAGTTGTATATTTGTTAAGTGATTTTTTTTCAAATCATCGCATTTTTCGACCAGTATTTGGGTATGGTACTTTTCTTCACTTGAGGCATCAGCTTGTACAAAATGCATAATATCTATTGATTTCATTTGCAATTATTTGTACTTGGCTCACATAAAAAATTTTGTGAAATAATCATATTCTTCAGCATTGTGATCCACATCAAACATATTACTCACTCCTCCTGCAACCTTACACTGTCAAAATTAAATGCTTCCAGTTGAAATTCCTCACAGTCTCTCCAGTGAAAACTTGCATTATCCTGGCCACTACTATAGCTGGATTCACTATTAGATTCGATTGCATCTTTGTCTATATTATTATTCCCTATATTTTTCTCACCACTCTCAAAATAGCCCAATAATAAGCTTCCACTAGTATTTGTACCATTGCTATTGACATCGCTATTATCTTCAACTTCAAATCCCATTTGTTTTTAGGTGTTGATGTTTGATCCAATATAGTTATATAAACCACACTATTCCAGAAGAACAAAAGTGCACACAATATCTTGATGCAGCAACCTTATTAGAACTAATACAAAATCTTGAAAACATATTATTGGGGGTTTACTACAGACATGCTTACGTGAGGTGTTGATGGACATAAACAAACTGAGATTATTTCAAAAGAATAAAAATGCACACAAATCCCAATGACAACGAGCATGAACATACATGCACTTTTTCGACTGAATTCTCAAAATAAGGTGGAAGGAGGGGGGACTACAGAACTATTATAACCACCAGACGCCCGAACAGAATTCCATTTTTTATATTGCTGGTGATGTAAAAATACAGACAGATAGAATGCTTGCTTACATTATGTTATTTATTATATGAAATCGGAAAGCAAAACAAAATTAAGATTTTTTTCAGCGTATTTATGGTATTATGTATTTAGTTATTTATTATATTATAATTGGCTTATTTTGGAGTCAATTTGGTATTTATAAATATGAATGCTGAATGATTGTTGTTTTATAATTCCTCATTGACGATGAAATGCTACTCAACAGACAAAATGCTACTCAACAACCGCTAACTGTAAAACGTCTGTTGATGATGGCTGGAATATGTGGCAGACTGGGTAAATCACTTATTGACAACTGCCGTAGTTAAAGAGTTAATGATAGTAGGGAAGCTGCCGATGAACAAACCTAAGGCAACTTTCACTATGATGTGATCCTTTTGAAATTTGCTGACATTTTGATAGTTATAGTATAAGCCTGGTAACAAAATTGTCTTAATTATGTCATCACTTCTGACTCACATGTTGGGCAGTTCATTTATGTGACCATCTTGCATTCATAAAGATAGTCATACAACTTGTGTTGAATTGAGTTGTGAAATGATGCCAGGTAGGTCTTCGGGGCATTTTCATTTGTTGATGCAAACAGCGAAACCACATCAACAATTTAAATTGACACACCGGCCATATAATGTACCTTTTATGCATTTTGTGGTGTATGTTTCTAGCGTGCTTCAGACTCCATGTAAGATTGTTCATTAACTGTGCTTTGCTTACCAATTTTGAATCGGGCTAAATAGATATTTGCATGTTAAATTTCAAGGCTGTAAGATGGTCTGTTTTT